TTGGGGGGTTTTACGTCATTTTCAGGCCTAAAATGTGGAATATAACATGGGTGCAAAAATGGAAAAAAGGGCCTCAGTCATGAAGGGGTTAAAAATGTATCTTATTTGTGTATCACTCGGCTGTAGATCCTCAAATCATCTCTGAATTGGTGGGAGCTACTTTTGTTCCCCATGGTCCCTGCGTGTGTTGTAAAGTAGTCACTGCTTCAAGCTTGCTCACGTGACGGACTAAAATCTCACGTACGGTGAGCGTACGGCTGCGTAGTCCCATAGAGATGGACAGAGGCTGCGTACTAATCACACACAGCACCTGTCCTTCCTGGGAGCTGCCCTATACAGCCGTGCACGCAGCACGGAGCTGTACATGCCGGCTTTTTCTCGTGTGAATGAGGCCTTAAGGGAAAACTAAGTTTGAAAGGTCTGTGCATTTATTTTTGTGAACAAGCCAAGTTACTGCAGTCAGTTGTACCTGTTATTAAGCGCTCAGTGGAGCAAGGCTTTTTGTTTTGCTTCTGTTTATTTTGGCAGTTCTTGCTAGACCTGTTAATAAAAAAGAAAAGAACTTTACTTTGCACAAACTAAACCATTGTGTGGTGTTTCCCACCTTGAAGACTGTGTGGCTGTAAGGCCTGGTTCACACCTGGGCGTTTTACAGCGCGTTCCTACACGCTGTAAAACACTCAACATGTGAAAATCAATCATTGCATATGGGCATGGTTCCCACCTGGGCGTTTTACAGCGCGTTCCTACACGCTGTAAAACACTCAACATGTGAAAATCAATCATTGCATATGGGCATGGTTCCCACCTGGGCGTTTTACAGCGCGTAGGAACGCGCTGCAAAACGCCCTACGCCCAAATAAGTACAGGAGCTTCTTTGGGGCGTTTTGCCGCACGTTAAAAAAACCCATTAAAAAACCGCTCAGGTGTGAAACCAGCCTAAGATCCCAGGTCACAATATATACTTCAATTAACATCAACCAACAAAATGATTAAAAGTGTAATCCTTGCTTTTGCCACATCTATGTTAAAGGAGAATTATGAGGCGAGTGATTTTCACTCAGCCTCATAATCTGAGCCAACCTCTGACAATTAAACTGTCACAGGTCGGCTCAGTAGATCGGGAAGTGAGCGAACACATGATTAGGTCGGCCCTGTGCAGATATGGACTGGGCTATGGATAACAGGTACAATATAGAGGTTTAGAAGGAATTAATGTAATGTCATGTTTTAATGTTGAATGTTTTTCAGTTATGTAAGATGTGAGAAATTTGGATTGTTGTTTGGGAAAATTAATAAATATTTATATAACTTCTCGATCCTGTGCCGGCAGAGAGCCGTGACAGGGGAGGGACTGGATTCCCCCCTCCCCCTGTCCGATTCTCCAGTGCTGACTGGCGGAACGGACAGGGGAGGGGGCAGGTACAGCTGGCTCTGCCTCTAGATAGGCAGAGCCAGCTGTCACTCACGCAGCTGGGTGGATCCAGACATACTGTCGGCTGCGGCGTCTTAGTATACCGCGAGCTGTAGCTTGAGGTATACTGAGCTTTGGGTGATGGGAGGACGCTAGTTTGTGTCCTCCCGTTACCCTAAGGAGAACTATGGGGAAAAGCCCTACCCCATAGTTCTCCTTTAAGGGACGTCTCCTCATAAACATCCATTCATGGATAAGTCCATATATAAATAAATGAATGTATATTCTAAATGTGCCACTCTATATTTTTCTAAGGCAATGTGTCAAACTGTGAAAACATAGTCTAATGTGTATCAGATTCTCTCATAAAAATATATGTGATAAGATTATAAATAACATAAATAAACATCAATACATAATATGATTCAAAAATAAAGTGCACAAACTTTGCACGTGCAAACAATACATAAAGTAAGTTCCCAAAGGTAGAAAGTTCCACTAGAAAGGTGCATGCACTACTTGTGTGTGAGATCTCCATGATAATTTCCACGATAACCAATCACCCACAGGAGTGCTGCTCACCTTATATAAAAACCTTAGAACAAGGTCAGAAAACAGCAATCCCCTTTCACTTAGTAGGTATAGTCGAACGGTAAAAACCCGGAAGGCAACAACACCCGCCATCATGCCAAAGTGTGTGACGTCATTGCGCACGTACAATGTCATCGTGCACATTTGTGATGAGGTCACACGCGGTTACCTGCCGGCGGCCATCTTGGTGAAGGACGCCAGCAGAGAGAGGAGGGGACGTTAACCCGGCCGCATAAGATATGCCGCCAGGTCCCCTCCTCTCTCGTGCACCAGTCAGGTCATTTTGGTGTCACCCTCTCCAATAGTGTGTGGCTGCCCCCCGCACCCCCTAGTGACACTACTGAGCCAGAGCACGAGGATTAAATGTGCGGCTTTTTTTTTTTTTTAAATCAGCAAACCATATGAAAGCAATGAGGCTGCCATAGTCCCATAATGTGAGTGTTGCATACGCTGCTGCTCCCAGTTCATTTGTGTTGAAGAGTGGTGGGAATTCACTAAAAAATGCCTACTTTCATTTTAACTAGACATGTGCACGGCTGAAAATTTCGTATCGTTTTTTTCATTTTCTGAAGTTAATAAAATAAAAAAATAAAAATGTGTGGGGTCCCCCCCCAATTCATACCAGACCCTTTAGGCCTGGTAGGAATTTTAGGGGGACCCATGGCACAAAAAAAAAATGCATGGGGTCCCCCCAAAATACATTGCCTTACCCTTGATCTGAGCAGCAGCCTGCACCATACCAGGCCACATGCCCTCAAAATAGGGAGGGTGATCCATGTTAATAAGGACATGGGCCTCTTCCTCATGTCCTCAGGGTCTGCAGGCAGGGGGGCTTATCTGAATCTTGGTGCCCCCTTTTAATATGGGTTGAGTGTAATATTTTACAGTGCATGCACGAGATGATGGTTTTTAATAGATGAGTATAATATTGTACGGTGTGTGATCTCATGTGCCTCATATCGTGCATGCACTGCATGAATTACACTTGAGAGGAGGCGAAAACGTAATCAACGTGCTGACAGAGAAAAGGAAAAATAAGCCGACCAATGATGTTATTTTTAAAAATGGGGGTACATGCCGCACAGATGCAGTGTGAATGTGGCTAACTATGTAAAAATAATTGCAGGGACATATATGTGTGCTTGATTAGCCAAATCGTTTTTCATAGAAGTGGAGTTTTCTGAGAGGCATTAAAAACCCATACTGTTTGCTGGAAAGGAACTTGTCCTGTTTGCCGATGCTCTGCACTACCAGCTTCACCCGCGAGGTGTCACTAGATGACACGTGTGTCTCCCTTATGAGTTCCAGCCTGCAATCCAAAAGCTCTCCACTAGGTAACACCACTGAGACAACACTATTGACACACAGGTACTACGGAAGCCTGGAGGGGACTAAAAGGGTAGAGAGCAATCCGGGCGGGACACGGAGGCAGCATTTCCTTCAGACCGGGCAGCCGGTAGCACTTGGATTGTAAACATTGGAGCGCAAGGACTGCGAATACCGAGAGACAGAGCTTCAGGAGTCCAGGCGACGGAGTGTTCGGAGAAAATAGCTCCAGGACGATATAAACCCGTGCAGGACTCCGCTAGCACCATCTAGCTGGATGATACACATCTGTGTTCCACTTACAGAGGAGCATTGCGATATATGTGTGAGGGGGAGGCAGGAAGCACACCAAGAGCATACATATATCTTATTGCATTGTACAGCTGATTTTATGTTATATACAGTGTGCAGCAGCAGGGAGCTAATGTAGGCATGTATACTGACAGACCTGCATACTGACACACAGACACTGATACACTGACCCGATGACACTGCCACACTGATACTGGCATACTGACCCGATGACACTGCCACACTGAGACTGGCATTCTGACACAGACACACTGATACTGACATACTGACACACTTATACTGGCACTTTGATACTGGCATACTGCTGTTGACACTGACACACTGATACTGGCATACTGCTGTTGACACTGACACACTGATACTGGCATACTGCTGGTGACACTGACACACTGATACTGGCATACTGACCTGGTGACACTGCTGCACTTATACTGGTACTGGCATACTGCTGGTGATACTGACATACTGACCCGGTGACACTGCCACACAGGTACTGGCACACTGATCCTGGAATACTGACCTGGTGACACTGGCACACTGATCCTGGCATACTGACCTGGTGACACTGGCACACTGATCCTGGAATACTGACCTGGTGACACTGGCACACTGATCCTGGCATACTTAACCGGTGACACTGCTGCACTTATACTGGCATCCTGCTGGTGACACTGCCACACTGATCCTGGCATACTGACCCGGTGACACTGACATACTGATTGAAGATCAGGGGGTATAGTCAGTCATTCTACTATCTGGCATTGCCGGCTCTGAGTAATGTGGAGAATAAAATCCATTGCATAGCGCTGAGCATTGCTGATCTCTGAAATGTAAGATTCAGTGTCATCCATATTGTGCTAGCAGTATGTGAATCGGGAACACCGGGGCTGGGATGACATTCCTGTAAGATTTTAGGACACAGATGTGTATGAACTTTGCCTGGGAGGTATTAGTGCTCCGAGGCTGATGAGTTTATAAACACAAGGAGTGACTTTTGCCACGGCACAGCCCATGTAGCTTTCCTGATGTCGGGTAGGACCTGATGTTGAAATTTAAAGTGGACATCGGCGTGTGCAGTGTCAGCAGTCAGGAGCTGGAATTAAAGGAAGTGGAAGCTGGATGGGACGGTCATTGCAGCACATACCAGAGAAAGGATGATTCTCTTCCAAGAAGAGTAGAACTGACCAGCAATTAACATTTCACTGACATCAGGCTCCTCGGTGAATAGAGACGATTTGTGTCGTTCTGGCAGCGGGATCTGGGATACTTTGAGAAAACGTTGGAAATTGTACTTTATACCTGTTCTCGTTTTGTTTCCAGAGGGCTCAGTCTCATCGCTGCCACTAAGTCATTGCTTCTGCCCCCTCATTCCATTACTCTGCCGTCTCATCTATTCATCGTATCGCCCTGTGATTCCAGTTTATGGCTTTCATCATGATGAAAAAGAAGAAATTTAAGTTTCGGGTGGATTTTGAGCTGGATGAACTGTCTTCTGTTCCTTTCGTGAATGGGATCTTGTTCTGTAAAATCCGCCTTCTGGATGGTGGCAGCTTCAGCGTGGAGTCCAGCAGGTGAGATGATCTGATGGCTATGCATTGGGTGCTATGACAATAACAAGAATAAACGTCCGGCCGATATTTATTAATCACATTCTTTCCAGAGCCTGTGAAGTGTTTTATTTAATGTTTTCTAAATTTCAATCTTGATATGTTGTTGAAGGCAATCAGATCAAACACTGGCCACCTCAAAGCTATGTAGATATTGCAGGATGGCCACCACATTGGAATCAATGTTAAACAAATGTGTCACTGTCCTGACACTAAGACCCCATTCATACCTGAGTTTCCCCAAAGCGTGACAATGCTTAACGTGAAGAACCCCATTATTTTCAATGGTGCCTGTTCACACCTGAGTGTTGCTTGTAGCTTGAAAAAGTACATCAGCTTCTCTTTGGGCAGAATCATGTGTTTTTGGTCCATAGACTTATTTTGCTGTGTCCTGAAAAAGTTAAGTAATATGCACCTTGTAGGTCAGACAGTGGCAACCAATGATGTATAGGGGCTTGGTATGAACCCAGTTCACCAAAGTTTGCCCAAGCCCACGCCAAACTGTAAACGAAAGGCCCCCCTCGCGGCCCAATCAGTTGCTACATATAACAAAAGGGATGGATTGCCCCTTTCCCAACTAATTGGGCCACGGGGAGGGATGTGACCGTCACAGTTTTTCATTTAGGCAAACTGGGTTCAAACACCACACCTTTCACATCACTAGTGGCAACCTCAGTCATACATTATATAGCTTGATGGGAGATTTCCTGTAAGGAATCCATCCACCCAAAAAGTAATATATCAGGTATAGTAGGGGTCTGGTGGGATAAGTCACCTGTAGTTTCTTGGGGGCTCCAGTGCCATGAATCTTTCCTCTGCTCGCTCCTACTTGGCGTTTTAGGTGTTTCCACTCCTGTTGCATTAACCACAATGTAAAACAGTGTCGGATAATCTTTTAAAACTTTCTGCTGGTATGCAGCCTTGAATATTTAAATGCAGATACTCTCATCACTGCAGTTTCCTGAAGAATAGAAGAAAATGTGAAAGCTGAATTCTTTAACAAAACAAAAGTGCTTAGGTTCCCTCCAGGCTACAAGACCTCTCCCCTACGCTCTGCGAGTTGGTGGCTTGCCGACGTCATCAAGTACAATGCAGGGTCCGTAAACCCGCATTGTACGAGGACGCCGAGGGACAGTCCTCAAGTCGGAGCATAGGGGAGATGAGGTGAGTGGCCACTGCCAGGGGAGCGGGGATCAGGTAAGTAAAACTGCTTTAACCTGCTACCCCTAGACCCAAGCAAGTAGTTAACTCTTGCAGTGCGGGGGAAGCCACACTGCACGGGGAGTTTTTTTTCCCTCCCTGGGGTCAGTAGCTAAAAGAAGTCTAACTAGAAGAAGCCTGTATAGGACTATGTTGAATAGTTAGAATCATTCATTTTCGGTGGGCATTGTGTTAAATCTGCGTTTCTTGCAGAACCATGGTGCTGCTGCTATCCAACACTTCCAAATGGGTCAAATTCCTCATTTACTGCTGCACCACGTGGTTCCTCCTACCCGCATTCATGTCACAATATGAGACAACAGTCATGTAAGGCTTAGCATAGGAGACACTTTGTACAGCAGGGACACAATATTCAACGACCCCAAAAGTTTCGGATAGACACACACGGCTTACTAGCACACGCAACGGTGGCTCCATAGGACCCTGCAAGGGAAAGGAGACACCCTAAAACAGAATGTCAGGGTCAGTGGTCAGGAGACCAGCTGATTCTTCAGAAAACTAATACTTTTAAACATAAAGAATCAGCATCCATTGAAAAGGATTTATTCAGCAGTTGAAATGCACTATATTGCCAAAAATATTGGGATGCCTGCCTTTGCATGCACATGAACTTTAATGGCGGTTGCTTTAAAGATACCAGTCATTAGAAAAATATTGAAACTGGCAATGATGACCTCTTTTGAAAATGCTGGCTTTCTGTTTGACAGGCTATGATATTTTCTAGGTCATTGTCCCCAGAACAAGTCTAGGGATAAGAAATTCTGACCACACTTGTTCCAGGTCTGTGACCACATGCAACCAGAAGCCCCGGGCGCCTAGCATTTTCAGATGGAGGACACTATTGTAATTTCCATATTTATTTCATACTAGTTGTGTTTTTATTCCCTGCCATCTACCAAAACCGTTTTGGATGGGCAGACCATTTCATTGGTTGTGTCACTGATTGACCTGTCTGAGTGCTCTTAGTGCCTTTATCTGTAGTATATGTACTCTGTCTGTTGCTGATAGCAGAACTCTCACATTTAACTTTATCACTTATGACTGCCGCTCCATGGGTCCAGTAAATGGTCTGGGATGGCGGGGAGTTGCGGCCAGGTCTGGAGTTATTTATTCCATAGGCTCTAGAAAAGGTTATTCTGGATCGCGCTTCTGTGTGAAGTCAGGTCATTGAGAGTGAGCTCCCTGGCCACCACTCCATGTCGGGATGTTACCTGGCTGAAGTATTAGGTGTTTAATACAGGAAGCGCATGTTTTAGGAGGGTTCCTGTCTGTGAGGTGGAACATACAGACTCAATGGGGGTGATTTAATTGACCGTAAAGTGAAGCTCTATTCTCTTCGCCCTCATTCACACCTATATTTTAGGTGTATTTAGGGATTTCTGCATCAGGAGCTTGAGATTTTCCTGCAGCAGGAATCCCAAATCTGCCATTTAGAAGTGGCAACTTTTACCCGTTCAAGTTAATGATTGTGTGACAGGAGGTGCATTGGAAAGTGGCAGAACGTTGGCACACTGCATGCAATCATATGTGGTTAGGAATCATTCACTATCCCTGGGTGCGCTGATCGAGTCACATGTGATTACATGCGGTGTGCCAGGTTTCTGCCACTTTTAAATGCAGGTGCCGGGGGGCGGGTAATGACTCGTCGCCTGGCTTACTGACTGGCCAGCTTCCCGACCAATCGGGAAGCTGGGCGGCGAGTCATTACACGCCGTCAGGCTTCCTAATTAGCTGGGATGCCAAGTGACGACGGTGCATGGAGCCAGCTTTCTGGCCATTCAGGAAGCCCGGGGGTCGGGTCATGACCTGCCCCCCGGCTTCCTGATTTGGCCTGCATGCCAGTTCCATGCTCCCTGGTAACGAGGGAGCATGGAGCCGGCTTCACGACCAATCAGGAAGCCTGGTGACATGTAATGACTCGCCGCCTGACTTCCTGATATCGGAAGTTCCTGTATCAGGATAGACATCAAGAGCATTTGGGCAAGTACTCACCCAAATACTCGGTATCGATACTAGTATCAGTATTGGTGCATCCCTATTTAATACATGCATACATGCATAGATCTGAAACATGCCGCATTCCCATCTCTTCCACTGTCTCTTACCTCTGCAGCAATGAAGCCGGCACCCTGGCAGGTGGTCATGTGCTTCCTTATTGGATGGGAAGCCTCAGCCACGCTCCGTCGCAGCTCCCCAGGCACCAACAACTGTGGTTGCTATGTGAGGGATGTAAGGGGTAAGTGCTACTGCGCTCTGTATCACTGAGCCGGTCACAGAGAGAGCTTTGTGATCTCTCCACCGGCTCAGTGACTAAAAACATTGTGCCTGCTATTGTTACGGTGTTGCACTCAGGGTGGTAAGGGTGTGCCCAGGCACATCCAGCACACCTATGAATTCCTACTGCAGGAGGTCCTGATACAGGAATCCCAAATTGCACCTCAGCTATAGGTGTGAATGAATCCTTGAAAGGCTAATTCATCTTTTCACAAAAAAAGTAAACTATGTCCAGACACCCTCCTTACCCTGTTCATGTCCCTCCTTTACTTATCTGTAAGGATGACTCTCACCAGCCACCGAGGCCACCTGGTATAATGCATGTATTTGAGGAAGCTGAGGGACCAACAACAACCCAGAATCTCAGGGAGGTGAGCAGAGCAGAGACATAAGGTACGTATTACACCTTATTCCTCTACCCCCAGGCAAAAACCAGCCTTTTTTGACCCCACAGTAAGGGTCATTTTATTATCTTTTATTGGTTCCTGGAGTGGAAAAACATCTGATTTCAGTCATCTAGGAAGGTGATTCATGTGTCCTGGCAGAGTCTAAGTATGGTTACTTCTTCATTACTCAATGCTGCTTGGAAAACAAAAACATCTGAAAAATTGTCACGGAGAAATGAACACATTTTCAAAATGGTAATGTCACTTCTCAGATATTGGAAGCCGTGTGGCTCCCTGATAAACTAGAATACATTAAAAGGGATTTCCAGGAATCCTGAAAATCATCTTGTTTGGTGCTTTATACTTAACTAGGACCAAGGTCTTCAGTGGACGACATAATCTTCAAGGATATGTCATAATGGCTACACTGCTGACTTTCCTCCCAACAGTTCTACCTGACTGGCTGCCAAGCTGATCCTCTGGTTTCAGGAATAAGTCACAGTCCTGGAATATAAATGCAGCTAGTGGAGGGAGGCTTTATTTGGGTCAATATGCTGCAGGGGGTATCAGCATGACAGCCAGGCAACTAGGATATTGAAAATAGGTCAACCATGGAAGTCTTCTTTCTTCTTTCATGACAAGTTTCCTGTAAAGGTAAAGTCCAAGAGGATATACAAGACACACATTATTGAAGCTCTGTGTTCAGCTGTAAATTCATTTTTTAAAGCAAGCCTTAATATAACTTGATATCAACATCTTCCCTGTACTACAGAGCTCGGAAAGGGAAAGGATGGAGCAGCACAAGAAGCTGTAGCAGTTGTCTGTGCAAAAAGGAATGTGCTAGTAGTAGCTGCTACTCCTTTCACTGTCCAGTCACAGGCTGGTGGAGATAAAAGACCTGCATCAAATGAAAAATCAAGTCCCTGCCCATATAGACCTAGTACTATTTTTGGGAAATGCTAAAATATAAGACCTACCCCGAAAATAAGACCTAGTTGTGACCATTCCCAGGGCTGGTGGTGGCATAAGGGGGAACTTGAAGAGTTGCGGGAGAGGATAAGCGGTGCCAACAAAGCCAGCGCTAGAGGAAGTGAGGGAGCAGAGCCGCATAAGCTGATGCCTCCTCTATTGCGCCGGCTCCTGTCACAGGCGGAGTGATACCAAATGTACTCCGCCTCTTGGAAAGGTACGGCACCACTGATTGCCCTGATCACCATATTTTTGTACATGAATACATGTAGACTGTTGTACATGAATAAGTGTGGATTGTTGTACATAAAAAAAATAAGACCAAGTGTGTTTTTTTGGGTTTTTTTTGAGCCAAAAAAAATATAAGACAGCGTCTTATTTTCGGGCAAACACGGTAGAAGTGATTTTCTTTTTTACAGTCATCCATTCACCTCTATGAGGCAGTATTCTCCCTCGCCCATGTGACCCAGGCCACCAGTGTTCCCTGATCCCTCTAATGATATAATACTCACCTCAGGGCATTTCCAAGTTTAGAACTGTCAGATCCTGGGGAGTAGTAGAACCTTAAAGTCTCCATAAAGAGAACCTGCCACTGCTTAGTTACTATCACATAACCCTTGTGATAGTAATACATTTAAGGTAAAAGACTTGACACAGTGTCGTTTTTTATATTTAACCCGAAAATTTGGAGATTTTGTTGCACTTGTGTGAATGAGGATGAATTTAAGTGTGTTTTTTTTTGCTGAAAATATACTTTGATAAACAGTTGTGCAAATATATAGTAATATAAAAGATTGCAACTACCTTTGTCATATTCTGCAAGTCCTCTCATTTTAGAAAGTCTATATCATTTTGGGTCTAAAGTACATTTTTGTTAAACAAAATGCGCATATTCGCTTGAGTGTGAGCTCCGGCAGCAAAAGGGTTAATACCTGGAGTCATTGGCTTAGAAAAAAAAAATTTAAATCGGGAAAGCCAAAGTGAAGTCGGAGCTAATCTGTATGGTGAGTGGGATAGCACTGGAGCCAGTGAATGAGCATCACAGCCAGGAGTCTTCGGATATATAGAGGACAGATGAGCAATGCCTGCCTGTATATATCCCCTCTACAGGATCCTATAATTATAGTGTTGTGATTTTTCTGTAGCTTATAGGTCTTTTATGGGGCAGTCCACCCAAACATGATATTTTAGCTAGTGGAGCCTGGTGGCTACGTGTGCCCTTGGACTCTTAAATGTTTTTGCTATTCCAGCAGTGAGTTCTTCCTGCCAATTTCCAATTCTGTTTCTGGCCACTTTTAAGCTTCGGGTGTTCCCACCCCACTCTGTGTGTTTTGGCACACCTTGGTGCATTTTTCATAAATTGAATTGATAATCCAGCAGTGACGTGGGACCTCCTCGTAATGAACACAGCGGGTGTGCAGACACAGGAACTCCAAAATGGATATCATATCTCACCAATTAAATTGGACCTGAATAAAGCGAAGACTTGCTATGTTATTGGGAAAATCAAGAAGTGTTCATTGTGCCTGAGTAGTGCCCTGAAAAATACACCTTTTTGTCTTGAGTTCCTCCTGAGTGTGAGGGTGCCTACAGCCTCATAGCTTTATATCTGCAGTGTAAGATCTAAGGCACTGCTGCCTCTGACTGCAAGTCTCTGGATATTTGAAGTGAGATTTGGTGATGTCATTATTGCGCTGCTCACTGTTTTACTTGCTGGAGGCTTTGAGATGAGGAAGCAAAGCCCTGCCTCTACCAAGATGGCTGACTCTGCACAGAAGCACAGGGCAGAACAAGACATGGTAAGCCAGTAATTGGGGGAAATATCAGCTGCAGGGGAATCGCAACCAATACTGGTGACTAGGTCTTTACCCTCTGTCTGCTTTTTTGGGGGGAACAACAGGGAAAGTTCAGTTACTCTTGCCAAGGAGATATAAGGAAGTGACACGCGTTTAACTCTAGAATCCAACAAGAAATGAACTGGGTTGACTGAACCTAAAATAAATGTGTCCATGGAAGGCCAGCATTTCTAATCATGTATTCATTTCCACATTGAATTGAAATTATTTTTACTCCTATTCCTACTCCTATTCATCTCAATGATCCTGAAGTTTGAAAACTTATTTACATATTTACTTCCTTTAATGCAGTGACACATACATACTACGCCCTCTGCATATGCACTGCTTTGTCACCCATTTCACAGACCCTGCTGTCTGAACTACAGATACGTTTCAGGAGATACAAAATGACTACTTGCAGATAGCGAAGTACTGCGGGATGTGTTGTCCTTAGAAAATGAAAGTAAACCAAAGAAATGAGCAGGGAATCCAGGAAGTTGTGGAAAGTAGGGATGCACCAATATCGGTATCGGTGCCAATACCAAGTATTTGGGCGAGGACTCGTACTCAACCAAATCCTCTGATACCGGAGCTTCCAGTCAGAGGAAGTTTTTTGTATGACCGGCAGTGCTGTAGGGGAACATGGATCCAGCTTCCTGTGCGATCAGGAAGCTGGGCGGCGAGTAATGAACAGCCGGCTCCTTGCTGATTGGCCAGGAAGCTGGCCTCCCGGTCAATCAGCCAGCCGAACAGCTGCTTTGATGCTGATGGACTGGGAAGCTGGCTTTCCAGCCCATCAGCATCGAGGTGGCTTCTGGGGCCAATGAGGAAGCGGGGAGGCAGGTCATTACTCGCCGCCTGGCTTCCTGATTGGCCAGGAACCCGCCTCGATGCTGATTGGCTCGGAAGCCGGTTTCCCGGCCAAGCACAATCAAGCTGGCCAGACGACATGGAGCAGGCTTCTCAGGCAATCAGATTGCCCGGGAAGTCGGCTCCATGCCAGTAGAAGCACTAGCATCGGTACTTGATATCGACGAGTACCAAAAGCAAAGTAGCAGATAGGCAACGCTTACAACTGGAAGTAGATATTTCAAGCAAGCTTATATTGGATTGTCAAAAATAACTAGTACAGTGGCACCTCGGTTCAAGAACTTAATTTGTTCCACGATTCTGGTCATGAACCGAATCAAACTGTGATCAGATGGCAATCTCGACTGGAGGAAGCCACGACCAGTGTCGGAGCAAGGAAGATGGCTGCGGTTGTGTTCGTCACCCAATGTGGAGTTCGCGAACGGAAGCAAACTTTTGCTGAGCTTCCTGTTCGCGAACCGAATTGTTTTGCAAACAAAAGCGTTCGTGAACCGAGGTACCACTGTACTTGTATTGCTATTCCGATGCTGCTGTTATTAAATGAAGGAGTATGCTGTGACTATACCCTCATATTGTAAACTTTGCTAGACATCCAACTGATATCAGAACAACACAAAACGTTGCTAGGAACAAACTAATATGGTGACAGGAATGAAGTTCAATTAGGTGATATGTTGCAAAAAAATTCTGGTTTTCTGTCTGACTCACACAGGGAAGTGATGAGTCAATGTAAAGGAAGCATTCTGTGTTCTGCATCTGCCCCTTGGTGATGACTTCTGTTTATATTGATTAGTTACTAAGGGGAACCTGAGCTGTCAAAACCACATCTGCAGCCAGCATGTGCGCACTGCCTAGGCACAGATTCCACTTCCTCTCTGTATGCTTCACTCTTCAGTACAGTTGTGCTCAATTTGCATACCCTGGCAGAAATTGCGACATTTTGGCATTGGTATTGAAAATATGATCATGCCAAAAAAGTATTTTATTTAACCACTTGCTGTCTGGAGCAATCTCTTACTATTTGCGCACACATGATAAAATCAGAATTTTTACAATGATATATTTTCTGAAAACAAAGGCCCTGTAGAATAAAAAAATGCTAGTTACAATTTTGTATGTCACACTCTATTTTCGCAAATGTTTATCAAACCAGTATTTTTAGGCTACAATACACTAAAAGGAAATTTAGTGCACAGAAATAGAATATAATACACAATTTTTGGGTAAAGTATAAAAGACAGGGTCACGTCGGGTAAATTGATACCAAGCATGTGAAGCCTTAAAATTTTGTGCGCCTGTGAAACTGCAAACAACTACAATCCCCCAAATTTCCCATAGGTGCCGCTTTAAGCTTTAACTGCTCATCAGTTTAGTGCTAACAGTGATTGATGGTCCTAGAATGATTGCTCTCACTCCGATTTTCGCGGTGATATGTAACGCGTGGCACAATTTTCGTTTTTGCACATAGGCGCATCCGACTCGTGTTTGCGTTTGTATGTGCGGGCCAGGGGACTTTTTTTTTTTTTGCCGTGCCTGTTCCAGGCCCGCACAGGGAACAGCAGAGCCCGGGGTAGCCGACAGCAAAGGAGGGGGGGAAGCACACTCCGCCGCTCGGTACAAACGATCAGGCGGATATACAGCTGCCAATTTCCTTGTGCCTTA